AAAATCAGTTATGTTGTTAAAGATCATCCTGGCTATTGTTTCAGTGTTCTCTGTTGCTGCATAGTTTTATTTTTTTATTGGAATACTTTACAGTGGACCTAATCCAATTCCTAAAGCAGTCAACGGGAGTCTCTTCAGTGACTTTTGGATCAGGTCCAGGGTGACTGAAATTTCCTCTCTCCTCTTTTCCTGGAGCCATAACCTTTTCCCTCATAAAGTGTAAAGTTTTCTTTCAATGAGGGTGTGTAACTAAAATATGTTTTGCTTCTGTTACCTAGCCATTAACCTGTTTGGCTGTTCTTGTCTCAGAAATTTAGGGAGAAACTTGTGAGATTTGCAATGGATTAGATGAAACTTTGGTAACCTTTGTTTTCTTCACCGTGTCTAATTAAATAGGATGCAGGGAGCTAACTATGATACTGGGATACAGAATCAAAGGACCAGAAGGGACCTGCAAGATCATCAAGTCTGGCCCCCTGCCATGGGCAGGAGGTTATTGGACTCAAATGAGCTCAACGAGGTGCTTATCTAGCCTCCTCTTGAACACCTCTAAGGATGGTGACTGCACCACCTCTGTTGGGAGTGTGTTTCAGATTCTAGTTACCCTTACAGAAAAGAATTTTTTCCTTATGTTCAGCCTACATTTTCCTTAATTAGCTTGTGCCCATTGGTCCTTGTCCTCCCAGGGGGTGTCTTCCTGAAGAGTTGCTCCCTTAGATCTTGGTGCTCACCCCTAACATACTTGTAGGCCCCTATCAAGTCACCTCTTAGTCTTCTCTTTCTTAAACTGAACTGACCCAGTTCTCAGAGCCTCTCCTCATAGGGCCTATCCTCCAGGCCCCAAATCATACAGGTGGCCCTTCTCTGTAACCTCTGTACCTTCTCTGACCGTATCCAGATCCTTCCTGAAGTGCGGTGCCCTGAACTGAACACAGTACTCCAGCTGCAGCCTCACCAGTGCTGAATAGAGAGGGAGAAGCACCTCCCTGGATCTGTTGGCCACTCATTGGCTGATGCACGTCGCAGTTCTGTTTGCCTTGCTGGCGACTTCATCCCACTATTGGCTCATGTTCATCCTCTGGTTGATTGTCATCCCAGGTCCCATTCAGATGCTGTGCCAGCCAGTGGACCACCGCACATCATGTAATTATGGTGAAGGTTCTTCCTCCCCAGATGAAGGACCCAGCACTTTTCCCTGTTTCATAGATTTCATAGACATTATGGCTGGAAGGGACCTTGCAAGACCATTGGGTCCAGCCCACTGCCCAAAGGGCAGGAAGTCAGCTGGGGTCAAATGATCCCAGGAAGATAAGCATCCAGGTGTTTTTTAAAAGTGTCCACGGTAGGTGCTTGCATTACTTCTGGGGGGAGTCTATTCCAGGCTCTGGGGACTTGGACAGCAAAGAAGTTTTTCCTTATGTCAATCTTAAAACAGTCTTCCAGGAGTTTGTGACCATTAGATGTCATCTTCCCTTGGGATGCCCTGGTGAACAGATGTTCTCGCAGGTCCTGATGTACCCCTGAACCCCTTATATACTCATAGGCTGCCACCAGGTCACCCCTGAGCCTTTGGTTTTCCAGGCTGAAGAGTCCCATGTGTCTCAGCCTCTCCTCATCTGATTCTGTTCAGCCCATAGGACCAGTCTATCAAAGTCATCCTGGATCCTTACACTATCCTCTGATGTGCCTACGTTTCCCCAGGTTAGCATCATCTGCAGACTTAATCATTGCACTTTCCACATGTTACTGGCCCAACCAGTATATATATTCCACATATGTGCCACATTATACTTTTAAGGTGTGATTTTGACATCCATGACAAAAACTGGGGGCACTTAAAATTTGCTGGAGTAGAAGTTCTGTATTCACTTGTCATTCATGGTCTATATCTTTTTTTCCTTCTCTCTCTTCATCTTTAAGCTTTCCCTGATAAAGTACGTGGAGCTGCCCAGAACTGTGGCACAATACCCTGTCTGCTCCCAGTCCATATTATCAGTCTTATGCAGTCCTGTGCCAGCAGGCTGCAACATTCAGATCATCAGTTTTTTGCTGTTCCTACCAGCTCCATTTAGTCCTACTTACTATTATCCTCAGGAACTAACCCCCCATGTTTCCTTGCAGGAAGCCGGTTTCCTATCTAGTGATGCTAGTTAGAACACAGTTTCCTTCTGTCCTCTTCCTTTCATGTTTCAGTTTCTCTCCTGGTAGCTAGTGATGAGCAAATTTCCAAAGGCTCAGAGTGTTCAGCAGCCCCCCCCCC